CGCATTGTCGAAAATATTTTAGTTGGCTAGAGAATGTCCGAATATGCCCTCCATTAAATTTTCAAAGTGATCCGTTGTCTGGTTCATCAGAAACGTCTAATGTGCCATCCACCGTGAATCAGCCTGTATACATAGAACTAATACCAAAATCAGTATGAACTCAGTATATGTCAAAGGTTTTGATACATAAAACAAATTGCCTCATTCAATAAAATCAGCTTCAACTTTAAAAAGGTTTAAAACTGATCTACTGCATCATATTTATAACAAATGTAACTGAAGGTATTACTAATAAGAACATAAGTCATGAGTTTTGGAATATTAATCAATTATTTGTTAGTTATAATTTTGTTGTTGCATATTAGGAATGTATCCTACGTACCAAATAAATGTTATTTATTAATTATTTATATTACATTTTACTACTAATACTAACTACTAATATGCAGTTATTTTATAATTCGACTCACCCTAGCATCTAAGTATACGTAATTATCTGACTTGTCCATTGTCAATAACTTGACGTGAATACCAATAAATGAATTTTGATATTGTATTATCCCTTTTATTTTAGGTCAAACCTAAAATCAATTTTGAACAGACGATATGCAAGACATGCAGTGATAAATTAGAAGAGATTTCAGTCTTCATCAGTTCATCATTAAGCAACAATAAGAAGCTGGAAGATGTCCTTGTCCTTAACAGGCCTATAAAAATTGAAAAAGAAATGAATGATGACGGTTCCACGAGGTTTTGTAAAATAAACTACGAAAGTATTTTTGATGAGAGGGAAATCAAAAACCCGGATATCGATATAAAACAAGAAGATCTCGACTACGAACTAGCAGCTTCTGGATCAGAATTCTGCTCACAAGACACTGAAGAAAATCCGACGGTTCAGGACCAATTCAAGTGCGAATCCTGCGAAAAATGTTTCACCCGCAAGAAGTATTTGCAGCAGCATCTGCTCACTCATGAGCCGGGTCAGAGATTCAAATGCGATTCCTGCGACAAAACATTTCACTGGAAGTATAATTTGGAAAGACATTCCGTGACCCATACAAGAGAGAGGCTTTTCCAATGCCACATCTGCAACAAGAGCTTGAGCCGCCAAACAACTCTGCAGCTACATCTGCTGACTCATATCGGCGACAAGCCGTTCCAGTGCAATCTCTGCGAGAAAAGATTTGCTCTGAAGCATCACGTTGAGCGGCATTTGCTGACCCACACGGGGGAGACGAAGAAACCATTCAAGTGCGACAGCTGTGAGTCTAGATTTACGGGCAAAGCGCTCCTGCAGAGGCATTTACTCACCCACAGCGGGGAAAAGCCACTGAGGTGCGATCTTTGCGAGAGGAGGTTCATCGGCCAGAACGATTTGAACAGGCACTTGTTCACCCACTCCGGAGAAAAACCGTTCAAGTGTGAGTTCTGCGATAAGCGCTTCACTTTCAAGCTGACGATGAAAGGGCACGTGCTCACTCATAGCGGGGAGAAGCCGTTCGCATGCGACTTGTGCGAGAAGCGTTTCACTCTCAATTATCAGCTGCAAAGGCATATGAATACTCATGCGAAGAAAAACGTCCACACCACATCCAACATGGCACAGAAAAAGGTGAAGGTATAGGTGAACTGAAATCAGTATTATCAGATAGTGTCAAATGTATGATAATGATATTATTCATTGATCTTCAGAAACACAATATTCACTTTTTAATAACAAGATGTCATAATTAGTCTGAAGATTATTCGGCTAGGGATACATTCTTAGGCATGGACGTAAAAAATAAATGGACTCGATAGACTAATGTCTACGACACATTTTTTTTTTCGTTTATTTTACTAGAAATAAATATTTCCTAAATAAAAAGACAAGTTACGGTTGGGATATGAAAAGTAGTGAATACATTTCTACAGATTGTATCGAAGGCGCGCGGGTGGCGGAGAAAGAGCAGACCTGCGATAGACTGTGACTTTACCTCCACCGACAGTGGCGCACAAAATTTTATTATTCGCATGATGATCAACACAAAAATATGTGAAATTTCTTATATCGATGAATTTTCAATTGAGAAACCAAATTGAATTCGACATTACACCCAATTAAATATCTAGTTGAACTTGAGCAATGCAAGAACATATACAGTGTGGCCAATTTTTAATGGAAACACCCCCCTAAAATTTGAAGTTGTAAACCGATTTTAATAATTTTTTTTTGAAATGTCAAGAACTGAAAGGTCTACCTTGGGACAAAATTTGAAATATTTATTAAAGTTTCAGGGCATACTACGATATTTTTTCTTATTCGAAAATCGGGATTTTTTATTAGCGATTTTTTTATTGAAAAAATCACTACGCCACTGGATTCAGAGTGTTTTTAAACCGGTGTGACCAAAATTTCATGAAAAAAATATTCATTATTAACAAGGTTATGACAGCTCAAAAATTCGAAAACTCACACAGCTAACAGTTACAAAAAACACCCTATACAGATCGTCCTCGTATTAGCTGCGGTACGGCAAATAAAATATTAAATGAAACTGGTGCAGTATCAAAAATGATGTTATAAAGTAATCCTGTACAAAGACGAAACAGGAATGATCAAATCATTTTGGATTATTTCGGAAATAATCCTAATGCCAGTATAAGGAATGCCACTTTAGATTTGAATATTCCACGAGAAACTATTCGGAGATGTCTCAACGCGAAGAATGTTAAAACTTTCAAGCTCAAATTTTTACACACACTTAAAGAAGGCGACGAAGCAAGACGCCTGGAATATTGTTTATGGGCCCAAGGGGAATATTTAAACAATAGAAATTTCTTAAAAAATATATTATATATCGACGAAGCCACTTTCACTACAAATGGAGTAGTGTCATCACAGAATTGTCGCTATTGGGCAGCGCATAATCCTAACTGGGTAATAAACTGTAAAAGCCAGTATTCCCAAAAAATCAACGTCTGGTGTGGGATATTGAACGAACGAATTATTGGTCCTTTCTTTTTTAAGGAAAACATTAATGCGCAGAGGTTTCTAGAATTTTTAAACACAGTTTTGGAATGCTATTCACGCGCTCCCAATCAATGAACGATCAAATTTAATTGTCCAGTTAGATGGGTGTTCAGTTCATTATGCCAGAGCTGTGAGGCAATGGCTTAACGAACATTTTCCAAACCGATGGATAGGCCGTGGTAGTCCGTTTATAGAGTGGCCACCCAGATCTCCAGACCTCACAGTTTTGGATTTTTTTCTCTGGGGACTTCTCACACAAACGGTTTACAAAAACCACTGAAGAAATAGAAATGAACTTTGTGCAAGAATTCGACAGGTATATGCAGATATTAGCCCTCAAGAACTAAGGAACGTAATCAGAAACATTCGTAAGCGCTACGACACATGTATCGAAATATGAGTTAGAATCAATTGTTGCACTGAATCGAAACATTTCAATAATTAGTTATTAGTTACATTTATTAAAATTTTTTGCTTCATTGTTAGTTGAATTGTGTGAATGTAATTCAGTTATTTTTATTAAAAATATTTACGCTATTTGTTTTTTTTTCATCTGGTTGCACTTTATTGTTGAAATCATAAAAAAAATGATATATTGTGACTGTTAGCTGTGTGAGTTTTCGAATTTTTGAGCTGTCATAACTTTGTTAATAATGAATATTTTTTCATGAAATTTTGGTCACACCTGTTTAGAGGCACTCTGAATCCAGTGGCGTAGTGATTTTTTCAATAAAAAAATCGCTAATAAAAAATCACGATTTTCGACTAAGAAAAAATATCGTAGTATGCCCTGAAACTTTAATAAACATTTCAAATTTTGTTCCAAGGTAGACCTTTCAGTACTTGACATTAAAAAAAAATTATTAAAATCAATTTACAACTTCAAATTTTAGGGGGGTGTTTCCATTAAAAATGGGTCACACTGTATATAAAATAAAAAACAAAAGAATCAAAAGCAACAACGATCTACTAGTCAACAACCAGTTTTATGAGTATAATACAAGGGGTAGAAATGACTTACACCTGAGCATGGTAAGAACGAACAAAGGATTATACCTACAATCCTTTTGCACAGGCTATAAAAGACTTCAATGAATTACCTGTCCATATACGTGAGTTGCCGGGCTATAGTTCATTCATCAATAGTTTTAAAGAACATCTGAGCCTCGAGGCACATGTCCGATACGTTGATACTATGAGCTTTGTAGTGGTTTACTAGTTTTTGTGTTTCACTTGTCATGTTGAATGTTTGTAAATCCCGAGACCAGCATTTTTGCTGATTAGGAAGAATAACGACATATTTTATATTTATAGTGTCTTAACTATGTTGAACTGTACGCTGTTGTTATATTTTTAATAATAAAAGAAAAAAATATTGAAAATGAATTGTACTAAATGGTAATTTGAAAATCGGGATGAAGAGTTTGTACAGTGTGATAGCTGCTGCAGCTTTTGGTACCAAACTAAAAAAAATGTGCAACTGTTTCTTCTACAGAGGCAATAGTAATGAGTCTAAAATGAGAACGCAGTCCTATATTTTTCTATCAGATTGAATTTTCCAACAGACACCATAGCTGCTGAGAAAAATGTCATTGCCGGATGATAAAAATAACTCCTCGTACTTCCCTATGTTTCCACCAATGAAATTAATGCCTATATTGAGTCATGATAACTCAGGTCTACTGCGCCGAAGGGAAGCAAAGACCATAAAAAAAGAGAAGAAGAGTCATGATAACTATGCATTGTCGGCATAGGCAAATGAACGTCGGCTAAAAACGTTCATGACAAAGCGTTATCGGCGAACAATCGGTCTAACGGTCACGTCCAACATTCCGCCGATATTAAATATTATCGGAGTAGCAACAATTTGCCAGCTTCAAGTATCGGTAGGGAGGAACTTTGTTTGCTGGGTAATAATCTGGCAGATTAAAGCAAATTCGTGTGAGGAAAATCGTGTTTGTTGAAGGTTTCTCAATCATAATAAATGGCTGAAATAGCGGAGACTATTTTCTTAATTTTCATCATATTTTTCTAGGGCTTCCGTTCATTTATCTATTTTTGCCGACAGATCACATTGCGGGACGAATCGTATTGAGAGTTTCAATTTGATTCTGAATCGCTCATATATGGACTGAGAAAAAATTTTAATCGACTAAATCTTCAATTCACTACAAGAATTAATATAACACCGAAAACGATAAATACTCATTAATGAGTACTAAGTTGAACAATGTATTTGTCTCTAGTTCACAACATTGACACCAGGAGAAATATCTCTTATTTTGAATTTCCTATTGAGAAGTTCCTCAGAGCGGGAAGTTCATACTATAGATACGACATCTACCGGTTATTTTGAAACTAAGTCAGATGGTAAAACAAAGTCCTGTCAGCTGTTTTCATATATTGTCGTTTCTTATGATTTCCATGAGCGAAAGAAATTTATTTTACCTAGTCATTAGTTAGTATTGTCTATAATAAACGCACTAAAAACATTACTCTCTCAATTAAATAATTCGAATGGCAAAAAACTTCAAAACATAACATTATAACATTTAGTTATTCCGATCAGCTGTTTGAGTAGCGCCATCATTGATAGAAATTCTTTCCTATAACCTCGAGGGTTTTGAATAAATCTTGATAGTTTATTCGATCGCTACTCAGAGTAATAATAAGAATTTTGTTACTCTGAGGATTGCTACAACAGAAGTCACTTGTCACTAGGTTGTCAACGATAGGTTTGTTTTGTAATTTGACAGATGGACTTGTTTGCATCTGGAAATTCAAAAAAGAAATGTAAATGTTTATTATTGTTCTCAATTTTTTATTTCCATACATAATATAAATGGTAATCCCAACAAAAAGGTTGATGGAAAGAAGATGATGGAAAAAACTGAAAACGACCAGTCTGAGATACATTTGGAGGATTTTCCCCACATTTGCCGAATTTGTCTGAAGAATGAAGATTTAAGATCATTCGAAGGCGAAGATTATCTATTGGATCTATTTCGAATCATTACGAATATTGATGTAAGTGTTTCAATGTTTATGAAGTTTGAAGGTGTTTCTTTCACTGTCAGACAGGCTCAAAAATCACTTCAATGTAAAATTTTCACTTGACAGTTTACAAAACCGCGATACTGTATAGTATTTTGAAGCCTGAAGATGCCACTGTATTGCACACTGTGTTGTGATTTTGTACACTGTCTAGTGGAAATTTCACATCAAAGTTTTTTCAAATACGTTGTAATGGATTTTCATCAAGTGTCAGTCAGTTAGTTCTATCATACAATTATTTGAAGTCCAATACTTTTTTAAAGGTTCATTCAACGGTCCATTTTCCGAGAAATATATGCAAGGAATGCATAAGCAGGTTAGAAGATATCTCGTTGTTTATCGAGTTTTCAAAATGTAGTGATGGCATGCTGGGAAAAAACCCCGAAAACCATGAAGAAACAAAATTATATGGAAAGGATGTAAAAACTGAAAAAACTTGCTATAAGAATGATGAGGAATCTCAAGTTTGTCGGATCTGTTTGTCACAAAGTAACTCGATGCCGTTTGAAGGTATAACACACCTCATGGAGGTGTTCCAGAGAATTACAAACATTGATGTGAGTGTCCTCCAAATAACTTTTAATTTTAGTGATGAGTATATTCCTGTCAAGACTAATCTTCAATCAAAATTTTATATTGATGTTGTAACTCTGTTTTCCTATTTCTTCTGTTTTATATTGGCTTTTTTATTTGTATTTCGTGATGAATAAGCCTATTATTAATGATTTCATTGTTACTATTTATTGAATAGAGATATTATTTCAACATTAAGGCAGCTGGACCCACCCAAATTTGACCAGAATATATTTTTATTCCATACACTTCATTGTGAGAGATGTTCTCTAATCAAGTCATGAAACCGCAACTAGTGTTTCACTATACAATAACTTTCCACAAGCCTCAATTTCAAACAACTTCATTTCCTTTGACTACTTCACAAAAATGTTTTTCAAAGAATATTTACAAAGCCTATCTTTTGAGAATATTACATCGATCTTGAAGTATTGTATTGTTTATATTAGAAATAGCTACACACATTTTCTTATCCACATGATGAACGTACAATATAAACAGTTTGGACCCAGTCTCGATTCTTGTGGTACTTCTGTAATCATATTACGTGCAGGGGATAAATTGATTTTAGGACCATCTGGCAAATATTTCTTTGAGGATAAATTCCATTTTACAGCATATATTTACCAAACGTTACAAGTATGATCACATACTAGTGTGTGGAATACAAAAATAAAAAACAATATTGTTGATTATTTCTACACTAATTTTCCCAAAGCTACAGAATAATAAAAGTCTCTTATTTATGATTTGCAGGTTTTTATGATTGACAATAAACCAAGTAAATGGCTCCTTTCTATTTTATATTTGTTTGTTAAGTAACTTGATATGCAATACTACACACATCAGAAAAGTCTAGGGATATTTTTATAACATACTAAATATCATAAAAATAAATGCATGAGGTCGTTTAATTTCGATTAAATTGGTACACTCGACCACCCTGTAGATTTCTATGGCTGGAACAAAGCCTGCAAAAACGGTAACTAATCTTTCATCAAGTTTTTTACAAACTGTAGGTTTTTGGCTAAAATGAATAATCTGAAAGTGTCGAGTTTGTACATTCTATGCAGTTCTTGCTCAGCAATTAAACTGGAAATATTGTGCTTTAACATGGAACGCCATCACTTACCATTGGCTGAGATGAATAGAGCTGTAGGGCTTCTTCAAGGTGGCATGCGACAAAATGATGTAGCTCTTCGTTTGGGGGTCTCCCAAAGTGTTATCAGTCGATTGTGGCGGCGTTTCCGTGAAACTGGCAGTCCAGCCGAACAACATTCAGGGCGAGGACGCGCTACAACTGCAGTTCAAGACCGATTTTTCGTCTTAACCGCAAGAAGACAACCGACAATCACAGCACCTGAGTTGGTTAACGTGTTGCAGCAGACGCACCAGGTAACCATTGGTCGTGATACTGTCAGAAATCGACTGCATGAAGCAGATCTCCACAACAGAAGGCCACTTAGATGTCCACCTTCGTCGAGAGGCAATCGCGGTAGAAGATTAGAGTGGTGTCAAGAACATCAAAACTGAGATGCAAATGATTGGGCCACAGTTTTGTTTACAGACGAATCCAGATTTGGATTTCATCCAGATTCTCGTCGAGTAAGACCGTGGAGACGACCTGGAAATAATGAACATTTGAGACACGTCCAGGAAGTCCACACATACAAAGGTGGTATGGGGCGGAATCATGATCGGCGGCAGAACCGATCTCGTTTTTCCAAATCGCTCCCTCACAGCTCGACAGTACCTCGACACCATTCTTCTACCTATCGTCCGTCCGTTTGCTGGTGCTGTTGGTGAAAACTTCCACCTAATACATGATAATGCTCCTCCACATGTCGCACGTCTAGTGACTGACTGGCTCACCAACGAAGGAGTTTATGTATTGCCATGGCCAGCACAATCACCGGACCTGAATCCCATCGAGCATGTGTGGGACATGCTTCAACGAAGAATTACTCCGCATATGGGGAACATTCACACAACATTTCAATTGAGAGAGCTTTTAATCGTTGAATGGGCAAATGAACCTCAACAAGACATTGACAATCTCATTTTGTCGATGCACGATAGATGTAGGGCTGTAATAAACCAGCGTGGAGATCATACTTTGTACTGATTCCAATTTTTTTGTATTATGATTTTTTTTGGGGTGCCAAAGAAGAGCCATATTTTTTTTAGTTTTGCTTATATGCGCACTCAGTATTTTTGACCATTTAATAAATTTTGTTGTAAGTTACATTCGTTTAATAATCACCCGTCAACTTTTTTTTCCCTAAAACGATCTAAAAAAAAATCATTGCCATTTTTAAAAATATCCCTAGACTTTTCCGATGTGTGTATATATTAGCTTTTATTTTTAGGTCAAACCTAAAATCAATGTTGAACAGACGATATGCAAGACATGCAGTGATAAATTAGAAGAGATTTCAGTCTTCATCAGTTCATCATTAAGCAACAATAAGAAGCTGGAAGATGCCCTTGTCCTTAACAGGCCTATAAAAATCGAAAAAGATATGAATGATGACGGTTCCACGAGGTTTTGTAAAATAAACTACGAAAGTATTTTTGATGAGAGAGAAATCAAAAACCCAGATATCGATATAAAACAAGAAGAACTCGACTACGAACCATCAGCTTCTGGATCAGAATTCTGCTCACAAGAAACTGAAGAAAATCCGACGGTGAAGGACCAATTCAAGTGTGAATCCTGCGAAAAATGTTTCACCCGCAAGAAGTATTTGCAGCAGCATCTGCTGACCCATATCGGCAACAAGCCGTACCAGTGCAATCTCTGCGAGAAGAGATTCGCCTTGAAGCATCATGTCGAGGGGCATTTGCTGACCCATACGGGGGAGACGAAGAAACCATTCAAGTGCGACATCTGTGAATCTAGATTTACGGGGAAAGTGCTCCTGCAGAGGCATTTACTCATCCATGGCGGTGAAAAGCCGCTGAAGTGTGACCTTTGTGAGAAGAGGTTCATTGGCCAGAGCGATTTGAACAGGCATTCGTTCATCCACTCCGAGCAAAAACAGTTCAAGTGCGAGTTCTGCGATAAGCGCTTTACTTTCAAGCTGACTATGAAAAGGCACATGCTCAATCATAGCGAGGAGAAGCCGTTTAGATGTGACTTGTGCGAGAAGCGTTTCACTCTCAATTATCTACTGCAAAGGCATATGAAACGGCACACTAAGAAAAACGGTTCTATGATGAGATAATAAGATAAGAATTTATTGGTGTTCATGATACAATAGTACATAAGGCGAAAAGACAACAAACATAGTATGTTTAGACACGTCACATTTAAAATATAAGAAAAACTAGCTACAAAGGTGCCATTTCATTAAATTGTTAAATTGTCCAAACTGCATCAAAAACATCATTTATGTTATAAAATGCTTGGCTTACAAGTGCCCGCTTCACCTCAAGTTTAAGTTTTTTTAATTGAAAAGTTTTTTTCATTCTTGCGGAAGAGTATTATATATTTTGCTTTGTTATTTCCTCTAATATACTGCGATTTATTGATGTAACTATAAATGAGGAATCATCTGCATAAAGAAATGTGTATGCAATGTCAACATATAATGGCAACTCAATTATATACAAAAATAAATAGAAGAGGACCTAACACGGATCCTTGGGGAACTCCATGATGAATTTTTTTAATATTGGATGTTATGAATAATTGTCTTCTACCAATTAGGAAATATTTCAACAATTTCAATGGTAAACCTAGTATTCTGTATGTTTCCAGCATATTTAGAAGCATGTCATGGCATACACTCTCAAATGCTTTTGATAAATCACATAACACAACCCTGGTTAATATTCCTGTGTCTTTATTTTTTTGCCATAGTATGGATATACGATATCGTTATGTAAAAAGCTCTTAAAGTATCGATACGCATTGAGAGGACTAAGGAGTGTAGTTTCAAATGGTGTGCTGAGAATTGCATATTTTGGTATGGCTCAGCTCCGCATAAACTATGGAATACTGATATGGGGTGCTTCGTCATATGCAAGTGAACTGTTCATTCTCCAAAAGAAGATGAGAGATTTAGAAAAAGTTGATTCCAAAACCCATGCTAAACCAATCTTTATAAAATAGGTCATACTTACATTACCTTCCATTTATATTCTAGAAGCAATATTGTTTGTTCATAAAAATAAATATAATTCACAATCATGACACCAAATACAAGGACACCATCAGGCTACCGAAGATGTATTATCAAAACACGGCCAAACAAACGGAGTTTTTTTTATAAAAATATATAACACTTCATCTAATGGGAGGAAAGACCCTCATATAAAAGAATTGAAGTTCAAAGTAAAAAATTCACTTGTCACCCAAGCTTTCTATAAGATAGATGAGGTATTCAATTGTCAATGGTCATAATATATGTGTATGTGCATATATATAACTGTTGTAGTGCGAGATTTTTTCTTATGTACTAATGTATATTTTCTATTTTCTGTAGGACGTACCTAAATAAATTTTGTTATTGCAGATATTTTCGATTGTAACAAATAGTAATTTGAAATCAATAAAATTTCTTTCTTTCTTTCTATTAACTCTGTTCGAATAGGTACCATCAATAGAGTAGTTGAATTGAATCGGGGGTCATTTGCGCCAAATTGTTATAAATTGACAATGTGTCTTGTCCCAGACTGCAGCTTGTGGCAATATTCGAGCGTGTTAATCCGTAGATACATCTTGACATCGTCTGCAGAGAATAATGGTTTACACAATTACAGTATTTAAAAGATTTGGAGAAATCTAATTAAAAAAGGATAAATAGATTATACTCATCAACGAGAAGATGATTTGGTGAAACAAAACAACTACAAGAACAGTATTTAATAAAAAACATCCACAAAATCATCACGTAAATGATGATATACGAAAAACATCACAGCCCTCCAGCTCGCACGCCAGACCTAAACCCAGGGCGCCCACCCAACGAACATCCTTCCGAGCAGGTTGCAGTCGGTAGCATGATCGATCAAGCAGTCAACCTGCTCTTCAGGCGATAGATCTTCTCTGTCAGCGAACTTGGCTCTTACATTTCGATCCAGGTCCCCCTTGACGTGCCGCACGTACGCCGCTGTGTACTCCTCGTCCCTCGTGCCGGCGATCAACTCTTCGGCCATTATCTTCGTTGAACTAGCGCCGTACAGCTTCCTTTTGGCCTGCTCTACTTTGACTTTGGGGTACCACCGCGGTTGCTCCTCGGATGAATCTGCTCCTGTCGGTAAAATACAGCCGTTTTGGAGAGTGTTAGATGACAACAATAATAATAAAAATGATAATTCTTTATTTAGCACAAGACTGATTCACAAAAATTGAAGAATATTACTTTTGAAAACATTATGAAATATTGGTTTTCAAAGAATAACATAAAAATTATTTGCGAGTCCTCTATCTCAATGATGGAATTCAACAAGTTCACTGGTTTTCCTTGATTCAACGTTGTTTGAATATGGTGCTCTGCAAGGAACCGTTTCAGTACCCTTACGTTGGCTGATGATACCGTTATTTTATACAGGGTAGGCCATTGAAAACTTGACATGGAGGTTTTGGGTACTAATCTTGCAAATCCGAAAAAACGCTCAGACAGGTGGATTTTTATTAGGAGGGAGACAGTTTTTTCCCCATTTACAGCGTCGTCACTTCAACCCCGGAGCAGAGGTGTGAACAATCCTTGGAATTTTAAAAGGGAATAGTGGGCGAGTCGCACATCGTTTGAAAGATCTTGGAATTTTTTAAACAATGGTGTACATTTTTTTATATTTGGACGTATTTAAAAGAGTTTTTCCGATAATTAACTTTTTCAATATTGTTAATAGCAACAAATTGTACGCCACTGCTCAGTTGGAATGTATTTGGAACTCTTTCATTTGTTTTTACGCTATTTTTATGTTAATTTTTTAGTTCTTCTCTGATAAGAGGACTATTACAATTGAGAAATGGTTGAAAATGCTGTTTCTATTTCTCATTTTCATGTTAAAAGTGATATCTACATTATTACCAGTAGTGAGTGTCGTAAAGTGTTCGGCAAATCGAACCACCAGTAACAAATGAGGCGACACAAGTGGCAAATCTGGGCCATGTTGAGCTTGACCATACTTTGAGCACAAGAAAGTTAACATTTGTTTCCGGGGTGTCACGAACTAGCATCCGGCGTATTTTTGAAACCCACAAAATGCATCCTTACAAGATTAAATTAACGCCAGAACTGAATGAAGATGACTTCGATCGACGATTGCAATTTTGCGAGTTGGTTCGTGAACGAGTGGTGGAAAATCCACATTTTGTTTTTCAACATTTGCTTCAGTGATGAATGTTCTTTTTTTTCTAAATGGCACAGTTAATCGCCATACTTGTCGCTATTGTACTGATTCAAATCCTCACATTTTTCATTAAGTGCATACTCAACTTCCACAAAAATTAACCCAGATGTACCGATTGTCCTTAAATAAGGACACCTGTTACAGCCACCTACAATAATTTTATTTTCATAGTTTCCGTTGTTTAAATGAGATGGCGCTTGGTATTGCATCGCAGATGTGATTGAAGGTTTATAAGTTATTAGAATTGCGCGTGTGTTGTGCTGTGCGTTTCGTAGTTTTAAAAAGTATCGTCATCAAAAAATGGATTATCCCATTGACCTTCGACTATCGGGGTAAGTATTTTTCGATCCTATAA